AAATGTTTTTTAATTGTAATGGAGATTTTGCATTAGTGTGAACATGAAAAGGTACTAAAGACTCTAATGCAGGGTTACGTATTGATTTCCATCTTGACACTAGTGTAAAATGTGGGAATATTTCTATTTCATAAACAAGCCCACCTATTCAGCAGCATGAATTCTTATTTGTTTTAAGGACACAAAAGATAGAACTGAATGAAAAGAAGAAATAATAAAATATTCTCCAACCTTTTGTGTACAGGACAAAAGCCATGACACTGCTCTAAGCCCTGACTGCCTGTACACCAGCATTATCAAGATGTTATATGCCTCTCTCACATCTTCCGGGGTTATCTGGTTCTGGAAAACAAGAGCACCTGTAAACCTAGCCCTGCACAGCGTTAATTAAAATGGTTTTAGTGACTGCGGATTATAACCAGAGACCTGACATAATGGATGTGAAAAGACTGGCCAGAATTAGCATCACTATAGCCCCAAGAATGGAAGTATTTACAGAATCTGTTTTTTTCTTGAAGAGGAAAACGCTCGAGTTAAATCAATTAACATTTTTACTATTAGTAATACTTAGAATATGACTTGAATTTGGGACATTTCCTTTTCCTTTTAATACAAATTTATTTAAATCAGGTTCCTTTAAGTTTTATACAATTTCTCCAATAATAAGCCACGACTTTGACGTTCCGTTTAATGTACTTATAAACAAAAATTTATCATGAGTGAAAGAAAGGGGAATTGGAAGTAGGTATCAGTTATTTCATTTAAAACTGAAACATAGCATGAAACATGGAGAAAGCAGTTAAAATACTTTGTGAAAAGTATTACCATGATTCTGTTCTAAAAATCACTGCGGTACTGAATACTTATGACTTGCTGTTAAGGTGCTTCTGTTATATATCCTGTAGTCTACCATTTGTAAACACATCTTTTTGATGTTTCTGCCAACATCCTGGCAACAAAGCAGTGCAATTTCAAATGAGCTAATTAACTTAATTGTTGATGAAGCATGAAACAGTTCATTCACCCTGTTAGCTGCACCATGACAACACAAGAGTCTCAGCCCCTGAAGTTACTCATCTCTGTACGCCTATCTGTAGCTTTCCATTAAGATCTATTGCATACTAAAATGAGCACGGCTCTTCCGGCAAAGACCAGTCCATAACATACATAGTTGCAGAACCAGCATTGTCGCAGCAAAGTGAAATGAACACAGAAGTACTAGCAAACAGTTAAATTAAAAAACAAACAAACAAACAAGCAAGCAAAACCTCCAGAAACCAATCGTAGTTTGAAGCTGCAGCTGAAAAGCCGAGTCATTTATTTTCCAAATGCTGTGACTTAGACAACAACTGGCAAAACCAAACTCTGAGAGTAAAAACTTTCCACATCACTGTTCAGTTTTGAAAGGTGCAAACCTACCTGTTCATAGTGTTTTTGTTCTGTATATATCGTGCACATGTAGGAGTAAAAGCAAAAATAAATGATCAAGTGAGAGTTAAATGGTCACACTCAGTCCTTTGCGCTTTTCTATTTATATTACACACATAATTCCCATCATACGCAAACTGTCAGAATTTAAAACGTGCTTTTTCATACCTCTACTATCCAATATACAATCTAAAGCATCTCTTCAAATTTTCTGAGGCTCCATTTCAGTAGAGGATAATAAGAGGATTAAACACTGTGCTTTTGAAAGGCCTGCAAAAGTGTTCAACATGAAAGAAAGGATAACAATTTGACCCTCTGCAGATAGCCCTGATTATCCAGTTGCTTGGAACACACAAAAAATCTCCGATATGATTTACAGTAGAACTTTGTTTGCCATCTTTCTCTTGCCCTCGCCTTAAACAACCCTTTACCAATGCATAAAAACCAACCTACTTTAAAAATTGTCCAAAATCTTCACAAACGCTTTCACAGCCAGGCCATTTGCAAACTCCATGACCATAGAGAGTATGGGAGGCCCCAGTCTCCTCATGTGACGAGCTGCAGCAAAAGAATAAGGCATCAGATTCAGCTCAGAAGCCATAATCGTTGGAGGCTGCTAGCGCCTGTCAGGTTACGATCAGTGACAAACAGGTCAAAACAGGTCAATTTAGCTCAGAGCAGTCAGAAAAATTTAATCGTTCTATTGAACAGTTCAACTGCCAAGGCTAGATGATGTTCCAATTAGAGAAGAAATAGAGCCAAGGATGACTGCTAATAAAGGATGAAAAAATAAGATGACTGTATAATACCATATGCGAATTCTCCCATATGACCTTGGTGTAACATTTTACCTATAAATAAAAAATATACTCACAGGTGATCAATTCTGCAAAGACATACTGAAGACGGACACTCAGAATTTATGAATAATGTGAATGTTACTATAAAATATTTGGATTTTCTGCTAAAATCTATATAAAATTAAAGCGATTTTTATAAATAAATATTTTCGTTCACAACTGTTGCTTCTGTTAACTATTCAGCTTATAAAAGACTCCATTTCTCTTTTCGGAATCTCAGCAATAGTTTCAACCATGCGCAGTTATCAAAGAGATTCGGGGGATTGCCCCATGGAGGTGGGCACTAGCTATACATCCTAGAGGAAAGAATCAACGTATCTATCTGACATATAATCACACATTAATCCAAACTAAAAGTACCACTGTAAAGGTATCTAGAGAAGTACCAATATTTGAACAATAAAAAATAATAGTAGAAAATGTCCTCACACAGGAAAATGAGGGGAGGACACTTAAATTACAGTCTCCTATTTCAAATATTAAGATAATTAAAGCAAATATTTATATGAAAATACAATTATTTACAATTTAGATTATGTAGGTACATATTAAAATTTATCTTTTATTGAGATCATCTATGTCAATCTATCCTAACATACAGCAGTGGTCATAAGCGCTACAGATAATACATATTCTCTTACACTTGTAATCCATCACTTTAAAATAAGGAATGGTCTGTCTGTCAGTGTGTCTGAAATATGATTTAACCTAATCCATATGGTCTCATTCTATTGCATTACATTGATGCAACTAGAAATTTGTATGAAATTGTCAACTGAATTACCGTAGTATACAGAAGAAACAAAATTCAATAGTTTTCCTCACAAGAGGTAAACAAACCGTCTTAATGTACTAACTGAATACAGCACTTTTTACACGGAATCTTTGCACTGAATTACAGCATCAATTTACTAGATATATGTACATTTTCTGCGAAAACAGCAGTGTCTGATTCAAGAGTAAACGTCTGACTGCCAGATGTGTGAATTCAAATATGCAGGAAACTATGTGCCTACAAAGTGCCCACAAATCTGCATTGACACCTCTAAAACAGCACTTGCTATTCTGGGATTTTTAATTGTTACCGAAAGTACCACAAGTTCATGTGGTATAAAACCGTAGGCAGGTAATTGCAGTTGCACTGACAAAATTAGACATCATTATTGAAAACGAGGCCCTATTGGTAAACAATTTAGAAAAATCAGGTCTCCATAATCTCTTACGTAAACTGTGTTAAGTATTATGTTGTGATTTGAAATAATGCCCCTTACGATGCTAAACAACAGCTTTATGTTAAACGATAAGCACAGTTGAAATCTCATCAGCATTACCTGTCTCGCCTTGCATTTAGAACTGAAGACTGTCCATTCACTATGGAATGATGAGTTATTGGTGGTGATGCTTTGGAAGTGGTGGAGGAGGTAGTAGAGGAGGAATTGTTAGTAGTGAGGTCTAGCCCTCCATGTTTAATGCCATTGTCTTCCATACTGTGAACTCCAGTCACTTCTTTCCATAACTGCTGAATCTCAGCAGGACTTAAGCCAGCTATAAAATGAAAGAGAGCCCCACTAATATAAGAAAATAAGAGTTTCACATAATGAGCTCAGTGTTATTAATGGATTAACGCCAACAGTACAGGTGATGCTCTTTTTCCAGCACAATCAACATGTTGTAAAACATAATTCAATTTTCTTCTATCAAAATCCAGGTGATCTAACTGCCTTTCTGTTGTGTTATAAACAGTCAATTAAAACCTACCAATTCTAATAATATTAAACTCCTTAAAACACTCATTCAAGGACCAAAGAGCACACATGACAAAGAACCTGTAACTACTTCTTCAAAAACTACCACTAAAGAAATTTTTAGACGAGGTTTCCGCTGCCTGCAGAATCAGTTTCTTGCCATGCACAGAGGACTCAATGCTTCCGCAGTTCACTCAGCTTTTAGAACTGTTGCTTAATCAGAAATGAAATGGAAAATAGAAAAATATATTATACTAAGGATACAAGCAATAGTATTCTCTTAAAAGACTTAGAGTAGAGAATGGGGAAAGCAGGGAGGAGGGAGAGAAATCAGAAGACGAAAATGAAATCAATGAGATCATAACACGTTTAACACTTGGGCAGAGTGCATCTAACCTTCGTAACACATACATATCAATTAGACCTGATTAATAATTATCAAATTGTCCAGTTTAAAAGTGTATTTTTAAGAGACAAAAACAAATAAAATATTTCAAAGAACAAAACTACTACATCACAGAGCTAGTTATTGGTGATTGCTTAAGCTTTTTGGTGTTCAGTGGCACCAAAGAGCTAGAAAGCCAACAACACCGGCCCATTCAGAATTCCCTCTGCAAGGATGAAATTACATGTAAACTGTCAAACTCCTCTACCATTTTTTGTCCAGCCCTATTGTGGAAAACAAATCGGCGGGCTTGGCTACAAGAAAGGAGACTGCCTCACCAATCTCCTGGGGTCATGGGCAGCCACACAAAATTGAAAGAGCTTCTCAAACTTTTCTGCTGTGTGCACAGCTAGCCACCAGGTATTTGCAGATATAGCTTAAAGAAATGTTTGCCCTCCACTCTGCTTGTAAACCTTGCGCTTGTAGTTCCCAGGATTCATCCTCAGCTACAAATAGCAGTGTCTGAATACATTCATGTATCTGTGTTAGCATTATCTGGCTTCAGCTCAGCATTTTACATGAAGTCATGACCATTACGATATGCTTCTGCCTGAATTAAAAACTCCCAAAACACAGGGAATACAAGAGGTGTGAGCATGCTTATACCTTCCCCCAAACATGCACCTAAGACAGGAAATGACGATACTGAAAGACGCAGAGTTCATCATAACTATAAGCATCTTTTGTCACTACCAATCTGTATAAACTTCATGTCTCTCTTTTGAAGAACATTCAAACTAGATGTAGAAAAGAATGAGAATCCCAAAATGCTGCTTGTGAAAGATCTGGTTTCACCGACAGGTTTTTCAGCCTGACATGGTTTGGGTCAGACGTACCTTGGCATTTAACTGTCTTTTGCATCTCATCTCAACTACTGAAGTTAGGTTAAGACATGCTCACAGTACCAGAACTGCATGGCAGATGCAAAGGACTGGAAATGCTGATGCTGTCTTAATTTAATTTTTGCTCTACTTTTCTGAAATAGCTGAAGTTTATCGTCCTTCAGGAAAGGATTTAAAATTAGTCTAATCGTTCAAACTTTTCATTGAGGATAGTCTGGTTTGGTAAATAAGGTGCATTAGAAAGATGTAAAGATCTTTTCCCCCTCTTTGGCAAGTATGTTTATTAGATAATATTTTATACTGAGGATACAGGAACACACACTACTGAAATGGATTCAATAAAAAATTATGAAAAAGTAGAGTAAGTTCCTTAATACTGCTCAGTTAATTGTCTTACCATGAAGTGTACAAAGTTATGAAAAATAGACTACCAGTTATTTACAGAAATAAAATTTTCTGGACGTAGCCAGGAAACAAATTGGTTGGAAGGTATTTGCAGGTTTTTAAACTTATGTAAGGAGCTTGGTTTTACATCTTTATTTTGTATCCTGCTTTTCTACTTTAGATATCAACATCCATTGGCAAACTCAATTAATTAAAAAGTGGAAAAAGAGAGGTGAATAGCATATAAGTCTTTAAACTGGAGTTTATATTGTTTGCACAGTGAAAAGCTAGGATTTAAGGATGCAAGCAAAGAAGCGAGGCTCTAATTTACTGCACTAGCGAGATGGGTAACAGCAGTAACAGTAACACTAGTTGTAATTGTTTAAGGAAGGTAAGTAATTACTGCAGTTTTCATGAGGTACGTTCCAGCAACTCTGCAAATAACCCATTTTAGCATGGTAAATAATAGTTACCCGCAAAGGTAATCACAAATCGAAATGAAAAGTAATGCATTCAGTTAGGTGACATAACATACACAGTACATTATTTACTCCAAAGTGTTCCCTTCCTCCTGCGGTTGAAAAAAATAAACCAATTTTGTGTTAGGAAAATTAGAAAGCAAGAATAAACTGTTTGAATGATCAGAGGGAGAATATATTGTTGTGTCTTGCACCAAGGAAGTTTTTATCACAGAGGGTCAAACTTTGGACCCTGAGGGGCTGAGTGAGGAACGCCCCAGGAACCGGGGTGAATGCGTCGGTGTTGGAAGAGGCTGGAGTAACTGTGCTTCCCCGTACTCAGGGGTCTCCCACCACGCTGTGGTCATGTTCCTGCAAGCTAGTCCTTTGCAGTCTTAAATTATGGACTGAGCTGCATCTCTAGTCTGCCTAGCTTGCCTGGATTTTTAAAAGCAGAAAGGAATTTCTCTCTGGGCTCAGGCTGGCTAATTTTAGCACTTTTTCAGAGCACTCTGAAGGGCTGCCTTTTAGGATAAAAAGTATATACTTACTTTTAGGATAAAAAACAATTTAAAAGTATAAAGCTAATAAGGGAATTTGCAATTAATTGTACATTCTGGCAATTATGTAGCTTTCATGTATAAAAAGGACCAACTCCCATTTTACAAGAGGCTAATGGACATTTTAGTCTGGATGTAAAAGTAGGGTAAGTTTTAAAGTTTTATAGTTTGCGATAACCCTCAAAATACCCTCTCCATACTATGTTACAGGAGAAAGGATCAAGAAGAGGATCCAGAGTGGGATAAAAATTAAAGGACTATACTATAAAACAGCCAGCATTGATTTGCCAGTGTAGAAACACTTGACAGTCTAGTAACACAAAGGAGTTTCGAATTTTGAGATGAGTTTGATAACTCTTTTTACTACTTTTTGTTTTTATTTTTCAATTAATACTTACCACTTATAAAATCCATCCATGCATCTGTTTCTCATTCTCCTACACGGCCTGATCAAAACTTAGGTTTTTCAGGGGGGGCTTATTATTGCCAGTTAGAACCCTTTGCATTTAGTTAACATCAGTGTAGCATGACGTGTAAGTGACTCTTTGTGAGCCACTGGCTTTGTATATGGGATAGTAAAGATCTTGTCACAAAATAAATGCTAAAATACTTCTTTTTTCTATCTTATTTGCTGTACCTGACCATCAAGAAAGCATGGTAAATGTTCTTGCCCTTTAAAGGCAGAAACGATATTTGGAGCATATATTGTTTCTATATGCAAACCTCACAGCTGAACTCAGAAGCTACTTCTGTTCCTATTAATGAATGCCAAAACCCTGCTCTCTTTGTCACTAATAAATTGTGTTTTACAGGACTCTTTATGATTGATAACTTATAAACAACAATACTCCCGTGTACCACTTTTTCAGTCACCCATGTAACTCACTAGGTATTTCTAAGTTAACCCATTAAAAACATTTGTGTTTCTTATCTGTAAATCCTTCTATATAGCACATAATATATCCTGCAGTGAAGTGGAAGGAGAAAAATATCCTTTTACTTCATCCAGTGGACATTCTTTTGCCTGAAATAAGTTCTAGTGCTGACGCTTTCATTTGCTAAGTTTCCATGAGAAAAATGAAGGAAAAGATTGATCTTCTTACTCTTTGCATGGTCAAAAACCCCAACTCAGGGGCATCTATGTTAAAATTAGTAAGTAGCAGTTGGATATTGTCTACGTGTAAATAAATTAAAAACTTAGGAGAATAAGTCTCAACCGATCTGAACCCTATTCATCTTCACTACATAATAAACTGGACTGGGTGCTGCACCCCGCTATGAAAGATGTTATGTGGCTATAGGAGGAGCCCACAGAAAAAACTCTTAATTAGTCATAATCACGTATTTGGGTCTTTCCGTTTCAGCTGAAACACATTCCTTCTTACTCTCATCACTCTATCTTCACCTCTCCTGCCATAGAGTTAGTGGCCATTCTGGAGAGGCAGAGAGGTTTTCCAGGGGAAGCTGTCCTACATATTCTTCCTTTGCTCACCCACATCAGGGCTACCAAAAATCAAAGCACTATGAATTCACTTATCTACTTAAAGGAACCCTAGAGACAGAGAAGATGCTAGAAGTAGAAAAGAAAAATGAAGAATGAAATATTCGACTGGAATTCATTATAATTTAAAAGGAACAGGACAGAAGCAAACAAGAGATTGATTTACTTTAGAAAGAACCGTCCAGAACTATTTTAAATGTAAAAATGTGTATTATCTTATTTCTTTAGGGTCAATTTCTTGTCCTGACTTCACTTACACTTAGTTCTTTGAGTAAAAAAACTAGGATTCTATTTACTAGTTCTTCTAAAAATCTGTTTAAATAGTATTATTTTATATGTGTTTTTCTACTTCAAGTAGATGAATGACTGTTGCATTTAACTAATGAATGCAATTGGGTAGGAGTGCTGAGGGAAATCTGTGGGGAATGCTTAATGTGAGAGAAAACCTGAGGAATTCCTCTTGCAACAGATGGCACAAGAGGAGGTTGCAGAAGGTAACGCTGTTCCGAGGGAGCTGTGTTTCAATTACTTTTTTCAGCTATGACTTTGTACAAAAGGAAATTAGCATTACCGGTCTCACATGTACAAATACATGAATCGGCGTGCCTCTCCAACGCTGTTCCCAAATAATAATATTTAATGTGATAGTTTATTTGTGGCGTTTTGGGCTGTATTTTTATGTATCTCTAGGTATGCCTGTGTCATAGCTTTGTTCACATAACGAAACGTATGGAATTTAGGTATTTATTTGTAGTCTCTGCTTTCCAGGGACTGAGGCTTCAATTGGTTCAAGTACTTCTCATGTCTTTTTTCTGCCTTTTTTGTCTGTACTATAGCCTATCTAACACGTACTCTGCTCTTGCTCATCGAATTTCCAAGGTTTCAACTTCCTGATAGTTACCCATCTGGTGGAGTAACCTACATACGGACATAAAGGCCAACGGAAAGTAATGTTAGCTGTCATGAACACTGTCTAAATAATGCTCATTGCAGGACTGGAGCTTCAGAGATCAGAATACTATGTAACTTTTAGGACAGTCATTTAGCTCACCTCTGTACCGTTCACACAAACAAAAACACATGCCTCATAGACTTTATGTCATGGCCACATGACGTCTTCGGCCTTGTCCTAAAATGTAAGCTGTATTTATTTTCAAATTAATTTACTTTTCAAAAAAGTGTGTGCCCTACTTTCTTTGGATCATGAATGCATTTGTAGAATAGGGAGTAGCAGAGAGTTTGAGCTTATTTATCGAATTGAGAAATCTTGATCAAAGTGACAAGGGGAAATTTTTATTTTCTAAAAGCCTTTACTGTTATTTGTCAGTCACAATTCTTTATTACTGTATTCACAACTTACAAAAACTGTTGTCATATTTAAAAAATAAAAAGGAATGGCAAAGAAAAGGAATCCTAAGGTATGTCCCTAAATTCATGTAATCAATTGAAGATTCAAAGTTTTTTTCCATACCAAACACCCTCTTTTCTTAAAGGAAGAAAAAAAAAAAGTTTTGGACTGACTTTAATATCACTGTCCAATATCTTTTAGATCTATTCACTTGCATCATTTGAAATGATTACACTCCCACTAAATCAGATTTCTGTAATTCCTCAGAGAAAAGCAACGGTGCTTGAATTGTGATGCTATTAGAAATTGTTTTCAGCACATAAGGCTAATAAATATGAATTTTATCTCTAAGAAAAAGCAATCACAAGCTGTTTTCTTCCAGAAAAGTATGCTGTAAAATTTATAAGCCTGAAGAAAAGTTGGAAATATGAATAATAATATTTAAATAATAAAATATGTTTAAATGTCATAAAGTGAAACTTCTGAAGTTCAGATCCAAATGGATCAGAATGGTTAAAAAAGTTTTGAATTAGAAACTGCTGCAATCATAAATAATTTATATACCTTGTGGCAGAGACTGGACAGGAA